GACGCCCCACCACAACTCCTCCTAGTAGTCTCGAATCACTTAGCGTAAGTGACGTCAACTGTAACTAGTCCACTGTATTTCCTGAACTTTACCAATGACTAACATATGAAAGTAAGTGAACTAAGCGATCCCTCAGTTTACGCACACAGAGAAGCTTTGTATTTGGGAAACTGAAACACGAGCTTTTACAAAAGCAGCAGCCCAAAATTATTCGTGCATCATACGCTGCAAGAGCCACTTTATTCAGTCCATCATGTACTTATACAGTACTTGTACATGTAAGAGAAATTAAAATCAGATGATAATTCCCAGAAAGTCTCAATCTTTCTTCCAATCAAGACAGCATGCAGCTGATGAGGCATCAATTTATTTTTTTGTAATGTGAAACATTTTCATCATATCTCGCTCTTATCACAGACGTCTGAATCTATATATTTCTTGAAACATTGTTATATTAATCAGTATTCCTTTCTGAATGAAACATGGAACTTGCGGGCGAACTTAAGGGTTCAATGCATAAAGAAAGGTATTAGGTGAACATGATTAAGCATTTTTATGAGGATCACATGCTACACAGAAAAAATACAACTTCATGTTCATCATTAGAAAACACGGCGTACACAAAAGTCTATGAATTTTTTTAAACGGAACTCAAGCTCAAGTATACGAGGGGTTACACGGTTCCGCGCGGATCGGCTTTTTGCTGCTGTTCGGAATTTAAAAATTGAACGTTTCAAAGCCTGTTTCAACTCATGGATTAAAAGGGCCGAGAAATGTGTAAAAATCGGTGGTGATGACATTGAGAAGGTATCTGTGCTGCCTGCCTTAGCCCCTTGGAAGTACAGTATAGTGAACATGAGGAAAATGTAAAAAAAAAATCCCTGGTGTTTGGATCATTTCAAGTTCGCGCCGAATCGTGTAACCCGCCCTTGCATATTTATTCAATATAATTTTAAAGAGGCTTCATTGTGCCTAACGTGTTCAAGTTACTAATGGAATCCATTTACCAAAGGATTTAAAAACTTAATTATTTGTTCCTTGTGTAATCTTACTCGAATTTCGGCGTTTTATTAAGTTTTTGAAGGCAGTTAGGTCTCTCAAGTGTAAAGCGTTTTTTGTAAAAAAGTCGGTCTAAAATTTTTGTCGTGTTTGGAGACGTCCTACCGAAGTGGGACTTTAGGTAGCTCATTCTCCTGCTTGAGATCAATTTATTTACTTTTCATTACATCTAAAGGGAAACTCTTGCTAGATTTTACTTCATTTTTTTTAACGTACTGTTATTCACATAAGAGAATGTATTTAGTAATGTGTCATGTCGTGTCATGTATATTTGCGATAAGCTTTCAACCCACAAGATGTGCGAAGGGCTATTAATTATCCGTTGCTCAAAGTTATTAAAGAGATGTGTTATGAAGAAAATATTTCTCGTTCCCACAAATTTGCGGAAGGATTGGCATCAGAAACCAGATGTAAATGAAATCAGGAATGTTTTTGAATCAAGTCACAATGTTGATTCAAATGTTGCTGATGTGATACTGCAGAATGATCCACTTTTATGTCATTTAACTCGGGAATGAGTACATATAACTTGTTCGACCCTTAAATGTTTCAGATCTAAATTTTTAAATTTTTTTTTATCCTCATGCGTGCACAGGGTCACGAAAACTGAAATTGGCGGATAACGAGATGATTGGAGAGATCAATGAATGCATTTGTGGATAAGAACGTTTTATTCTAATTATTAATCAAGATATGAGTACGAGAAAACAAATTAATCAATTTTACCTCATGTTCTTTTTCTTCCTACAGCCATTCAGAGCATA